TTAGTTCATTCACACACCGCCTCCACCATAGTTCAAATTGGAATCTAAATGTCTAATTGATTGTACGTCTTCTTCTTAAGTTCATCCTGTGTCTGTCCGACAGTGTGTTGGATAAAGACTCTGTATTATCTAGAATGTGCTCATTAGTATTGGAATTAACAAACGAAATCAGAACGGACTCACTTAGTTCCTGGGATTGTATACAATCGCCTTGTCGGTTGTGTACCGAAACCACTGTCTAGAATTTAAACCACAGATTTCCCAACACTATCCTCCCCTACGAAATAGTGTTGGTTCTTTATACCTCAAAACTATGAATAATTATGTGTTTATTTAAAACACATTTCTCACGGTGACTACAGTAAACATTAGAAGTGACTTCGTGATAAGAATAAACAGCAGTTGATATGAAATAATCCGAATTTAATCAAACTCGAGCTCATTTAGTACTTATGCTTCGCACTGAACAAGTTTCCCACAAGAAACAAATGCATTATGAAGACAAATGATATTTGATATGACAGCACAATTTGATTCTTCTGAAATACCTTCCTCAAATTTATTAAGAATATCATTGCAGAGTAAGGGATCATTAAAAGAATCAGCATCTATCAAAACTACATCAGGTTTTCGATCATAATTATTTTCACTCAACATATTTTCCTCAGATTTGTAAGGAACTTCGTCAGAAATAAGTGAATCATTAGGAAAGACCATATCTGGTACAATAACATGAGAAATCTGACAAATTGATTGATTACAAACTGTTGTCTCGCAAGAATTCTGATTTTCACTTAACTCTGAATTGCTATATGACTCTACATTGTCTTTTGAAATAGTTGATAAAGATAAATGATCATTAGGAACACTGGGCTTAATAGAATCAGAATTACAAGACTTAATATTAGTTGCAGTAAGATGAACATTAGTGTTACAGACTGAATGAATATGTCCAATATCACCACATATAAAGCATTTAGAATTACGAAATTTACATGAATGAAAAGAGTGAAACCTGCCACAGGACAAACGTTGGCCAAACTTGTGCCCATCTTCGTGAACTGCATTGCAACTCCTCAATTAGTTATCTACATAACCTTGAGTATGCACTGGTTTGGGATAACGAGGTGCAGTGGAATTTTTTATATTCTCATGAATCATTTTACGAAATCTTCCTCATTTACCGAATTCGAAATTTTTACACTTAATACAGTCCAGCAGTAGTTCCTTGAGAGCAGTATAAGGAAGCGAAATGGGCTTTCTCGGCAAAGCCAGAGTTTTTAATAATCTGTATGCTTCTTTTCCGATGAATGTGGGGAAATGTGCTGCAATATTAACATCCTCATCATCTTCCTTGGTCATAGCCCAGATTTCGAACCTTTCAAAGTAATTTTCAAAAGCATCAAAATCTGAATGGGTGTCCAACCGTTTCATCACAGGTTCAATCGAGACGCCAATATGATGATTAGGAGTATTTAAATTATAGTACAAACTAAGAATCCCAGAAATAAAGCATTTGGATCAAGAAGTACTAGATAAGCACTAACGAATGTACTGTATTTAGAATTCGAAATCAAGCATTCAACAAGTACAAAGGTATCATTAGTTCATTCAAACACCACACCTCAACATATTCATTATTCGCCAGACGTGTCTTACCAAACACGTTTGGTCGTTTTTCGCTCATTTAGTGGTTAAGTGCTGTATTGTGGTGTGTAATTTACACCGAAGACTTCATTTAGTGTTCTCAGGTTTACTACATCCGTGTTTTTCACCAGGTATGTCGATCGCCGTTACGCTGCGGGTGTTCATAGATAATAGTTACGGATAACTTCAAATGATTGAGATGAAATCTAGATGAAAATTACACACTAAAACTTGGCACGTGCTTAATAAACAAACGGTAAAATGCTTGAAAGTATTGAGTAAGACAAAATAAGTAGACATGGACCACGTTGCAGCTATCCTTAGAGTGATCGACTAGGTTTGATTGCTAATGATCTAGTATTTTTCAAATTAAAGCAAGCAAACTAATCTGAAATTGGTGTCTGCCTTTATGTACAGTAAACTTCAGTTAGTCTTCATCACAGGTCAATTAGAGCGATCAAACTATTCAAACTTGTGAAAATCAGGAATTTTCAGTCATTTAGAACAACTTAGTTAAGATCTTACAGAACATTTTTATTCCATGTTTAAAAGGTACTACTACGCTTGTGACCCCGAACAACCTTCAATGACATTAGGAGGTTTACGGTATTCTGTAGTGTTTATAAGTATTTGAATTATCGTATGAACAAAGAATCCCAGAAATAATGTAATCGGATCAAGAAGTACTAGATAACCACAAACAAATGTACTGTATTTAGAATTCGAAATCAAGCATTCAGCAAGTACAAAGGAATCATTAGTTCATTCATACACCACAAATAGTCAAAAAGACCACAATGACATTTGTGGAAACCAGCAACTTTTTAAACAACGAACAACATGATTTCAGAAAAGGATTATCTTGCACAACAAATCTCCTTATAACAAGGAAGAAATGCATAAAGGTTCTAGACAGCAGGGAATCAGTGGATATTGTCCACATAAACTTCGGTAAAACATTTGATAAGTTGCCAACAAATAGACTGCTCTTCATGCTGGAAAATCTAAGCATTATCGGACCTCTACTAAAATGAATCAAGCATCTATTGATAGGTTGTAGATAGAAAGTAAGAGTAATTCGCAAGTGTTCCACCTGGATACCAGTACTTTAATCGCGTTAGTGAATAACGGATTTAGACAGGTTGAATGACGAGAATGGACTTTTGAATGCATATATTTCGTATATAAAGCGAATGGAATAGAGAGAAGAGAATTGACGCAGAGTGGAGATGGCTGGTAGGCCAACTCCCATTTAACCAAGCGTCAATCAATACTAATAGTTACGCAAAAGTAAGTTACAGACATGTGATGAGTAATGGGATAAGAAATGTACACACACCTACGCGCTCATATAAAAGCAGTCAAGATTGATAAGCAAATAAATAACAAGGTCAGAATGTGACTCAAGTAGAATGAACAGAATGGGCCGTCCGAAAACTGGAATAAGGTATATGGGCTTAACATAATAATCGACACTAATAGTTCTTAATGAAGTATCACAAGGTTCTGTCCTAGGTCCTTTACTTTCTATACTGTATGGAAATCTCTCAAGTATAGTAGAGTCCCCAATGATGGTATACGCTGACGATATAAAAATCTGGCACGAAATAACAGGAGACACAGAAGAACATGCACTTCAGACAAACTTAAGTATTAGGATTGGTCGGTCTAAAGAGTGGCTGGTGCCTATCAACTTGACTAAGTGTGTCTATATGCACACCAGGAATACTGAGGTAAATAAGTACAACGTACGGGAAGAGCCTGCATTCGTAGTCCTGTCTCATAAAGATCATGGGGTGACAGTGAGTTATGGTCTTAAAAACGCAGCCCACTTCCACGATGTTGCAGCTCAGGGGATTAGAACTCCATGGGCCTTGAGATGGATATTCACCAACCTAGATGCTACCACGTTCACCACAGAATACACAACCTTAGTGAGCACTAAACTTGAAAACGTTGTTCAGCCCTGCCAGCCTCTGTTTAAAAAGTGATTGAGATATCCTGGAAAACATACAGAAGGTAGCTACTAGTGCAATTCCAAATCTCCGGGTTTACCACACAAAAAGCGGCTTGAAAATCTAGACCTCTTTACTCTACCCTATCAGAGACCGATTCGCGATCTGATTTTGATGTATAGAGTGCTAAGAAATAATTTTGAACTTAATGTTTCCTCCCTTTTTCCTTCCGCTAGATCGGAATATCTCAGAAGACGTAGCAGACGGGTAGAAAAGCCAAGAATGAACAGAATACCCGTGGCATACGGGTTTCCATACCGAATCCTCGATTCTAGGAACCTGTTACCTGAATCAGTGTTGTCCATACCTTCAATGGACTCATTTAAGGGAAGACTGGACATTCACAGAAGCAAAATAGAAAAAGAAATAACATAGGACACAGGATTTCGTCTTTACCACACAAATCTGAATTCCAACAAGTGATTGAAGCTCCATCTATCTACGCCTGAAGAGAAAGTTTCACGAACTGAGAGACCACCATCGCTAGGACTAACACACGCAACCGAGCCTCATGTCCTTTTCAAACTGATATTGAAATGTGATTCCGATGCACTGTATTTACATCCATTTGTACAAATATATCTGACGTAGTTAAGGTAGTTATATTGCACTGTGTTGAGCATGATGTGTGGAGCATTCGCTTTGGTAATCAGCTCTGGTTATACTTTCATACTTCGACAGGATATCAGTGAAAATTTTATTTTCAGGTCTTAACATTCGGACTCCATGAAGTTCGTAATTGGAGATAGTTGTGCCGCTGACCTGTAAGCTTGTGTTTGTGTCATTTAGTTTATTTTTCCCCATATCTACAAGGAGGTTGTAAGCGCCGAGAAAAATCTGCCCCGAGAATGGGTTGTTTGATTTCAGCTACGATGAAAACCCATGTGGAACGTCTGCGGAGACCGAGATCTAAAATAAGTGATTGTTCGCCATAAGTTTTTATGACTGTGTTATTGGCTGCGACTAGAGACAACTTAGTACTCTGAGAGTGCCGTCGTTGAGAGAGGTGTAATGGGATAATGCTGATTTCGGCTCCTGTATCGACCAAAAAGTCTGGGCCCGAAATTCGATCCCTGACGTGAAACAGACAGCTCGGGTAGTGGCGAATCATGTTATCGTAACGATATTATGCATAATATCATTTAAGGTTAGTACTGTATCAAGCATCATTATGAAGGTATCATTTTCGTTACCTGAAGGATGAAGGCTATCAGAGAAATAGTGCAGTTGAACTCAAATAAATTTTAAAAAACTGTCTTGATTTTACCGCTTCTGCAAAACCTAAAGAATTGTCGATTTGATGCACCAATCGTATCATGACAGTTTAACCTTCAAATTCTCTGTAACCTCGAACAATGGACGATGCCACTGGATCGTTGCCGGGACGAAAGAAAAAGGGTTAAGGATCAGGAAGGTCAGTACTGCTAGAGGGTCCTGATATAACTGTGCTCATGTCCAGTCACTGAGATCTTATGCAAATAGATTATAATCTCTTATGTAAGCCTGTGTTCTGTCTCATGATGCTGTTGTGTTTTAAAGGTTAAATTCGGACTAATATTTAGGAATTGACTAGTTACGTGGATGTATTATGCGTCTCAGTATCACTTCACGTTAAGTATCAATGATAGTGGTAATTACGACCGACTTAATACGTTTTAGATTTCTACTTTATGATAACACTAATCTACCATCAGTGACCGTTAAAATCAGACTTGGAGCTCACGGTATATTTTTTGGGCTCTGATAAGCTTATGTGTGCCGGAATCTTCTCTTTATTGTGCATTAAGCACTTGATTAATTATTGGATGCGAATAGATTTTTTGGATGGTGCAGTACGTACAAACCGTTTTAGTCCTATATTCGTTTACTTGTACGCAAACATTGGTACAAAGTGGCACCACCATGTATGTGCGCCACACAAAATTTTTGTGAGAGCTGGAATACCTCGCGGTTGTCCAAACAAGTATGTGGTTTTCTTGGGGAGCCACCCCCGAGCCTTTGACTTGGAGATTGATCCTCAAGTCATTGAGACAACGTTAGTATATGTAGTCCCATGGTAGTCGGTGGCCAAGAATAGGTTCGTAAAACATTTGTTCCCTCATGAACCTGAGACCCACGTGGACCGTTGGTTAAGAATCAGGGTTTTCCAACTCTCTTAGGTGGATTCTTCGTATCCACCAAACCGGTTTAAGGTCCGGACATTCACTTTTCGTACTCTGAATTTCGTAAACAACACCCCCGCCGTGAGAAAGAAATGAGTAGGACTTCCTTGCCAGTCGCTATGTACGAGTGAACATATGAGAGCCTCTTGAGAGGAGGCGAACTCTCCCTGCCCTCGGCTGTACTGAAGGGGGCTCCAATCCTAAAAGCTAACCTATGTTCTCTTGTGTCCCTAAATGCCCTGGTGTGGCCAAGAGTGGGGTGAGCCCTCCCTCTCGAAATGCTCTCACATGGCCACGCCCACACAGCCTCTGCCAGGGAAGTTCTAATCACTGCCTTCTCGTGGCGGGGGTGTTTTATACGAGATTGAGAGGACGGAAAGCGAATGTCCGGCGCTTTAACCGGATCCCAAACCAATGGTGCACATGGGCACCAGTATCCTGCGGGAACAAATGGCGTATGAACCAATCGTTGGTCACCGGCTACCATGGGATTGCATCTCCTTACGATGCTCCACTGCCTTGTGGGTTAGACCTTTAGGTCAAAGGCTCCGGGTGTGGTCCCCTAATAAAACCACCTGCTCCGGTTTGGGCACCCGGACAGTATCACAGCCCTCACGCATATCAAACGAGATCTGTGTGGCGCATATGTATTTGGTGCCTCCTTGTACCAATATCTATGTGTTCAAATAAAATAACTAATAATAAATGTTCTCTTATGACCATCTACAAACATTAGTGACACAATATATTGGCTGATTTTTTTTCTGTGTTCTGTTACACATATTGGTAGTCTGGATGTTTACTGATGTCAGTGGGAAATCTTTAGTATCCTGTGGTATCAATGTAAGTTCGACTGTAAATAATGGTTGACTTGTATCAGTGTTTTACATAACATGGTTACTGGTATTTTAGCGAAGGGTCCTTAATAAACGTCTGCGTTTATGTTATTTGTACGTTTTCTTCGATTGAATGATGCAGAGTGCTTCTCAGTAATGTAAGCTTCTTTTTTTCTAGCACATCTACCAGTAGTGGTTTCTAAATGGGATCGACTAACAGCACGATGTCATCAGAAATATAGTGCGGATGTTTTTGGCGAAACGTTGCTCAGTTAACCTTGAGATGGACAAGCTAACAGGCTATCGATAAATCTACTCATTGATTGTTGGTATAGGTCATGACCTAAAACATATCATACAGTTTGGCATGTACAATCCATGGTATTGTTGTCTGGGAACACTATGCACTGTTGCGTTAAATCAGTACCAGTGACTTACTCTTTCCAATACTTGTGTCGCTCTAGATAATGCACATGCCACTAGTCTCGCTTTGACTTTGCTTATTTATCCGTGTGATTTTACATGAATACGTGACAATTGGAGTTGATATAGCACTGAATCGAATAATATGTTGTTTACTAGTTAGAACAAGTGCCTGTTTGAAACTGTTTGTGCTTTCAGACCTTTTCTGTGATATTCATTTTTGGAGATGTAATTGACCAGTAATTTCTTGAGTTTAGTAAGTAACCAGTGTATAGAGATGGGATGTCAAGGAAAACTAGCAATCAGAAATGATAGACACTGTATCAAACAAACAATGAGTTGGAGTAAACTCCAGTTTCCATTGCATCCTGTACGTTTAAGTTGTGTTGGTCGCAAGAAGAATGAATTGTGTTCATTACGTATACTTTGAACTGAGTCTTATAACTAGATATCATTTGATGCTTTCGTGATATTGGTTTACTAATATTTCATTAATGTTGAAACTGTTTCTTACTGGGTTGGGCAGTTTACCAACGGTAAACCGACAAGTGTATCTAAATTTTATCAACTGGCTCATAGGCTACTTACATCTGTGGTACATTTTTCTAACATATCCGACTATTTGAATTGATGGGTCGTTTGTGTGAAATGGTTTTTACAAACTCCAAACGAAATTATTACTGGCCTATTAATTTATCTAATGAGTGTATTGCTCAGCTGAGTTATTGTCTATCCACTAGGGACTAAAGTAATTTCTGGTTTTTGCGTACATTGAACTCATCGTTAGTACAAATCATGCTTGAGACCATGCATTATTCTAATCCCTACTTTAAAAGTATTTGCTCACACACTAATTGTCATGCTATACTTTCAGGATCCGAGAAACGTGATAGTAGACGTCCTTTAACTGTTCGAGATGTGAGTTTAATTCGCTTGGCAAAGAATGGGGATTTGGATTCAATCAAACAAATGATAAAGGAAGGAGTAAACATAAACGAGCAAGATGAAACAGGTAAGGAAGTGTACCGATGGAAAAGAGGGAATTGTGTTGTATATCACTGAAAACGTGTGATTGTGTTTCTGTATGGGACTTAAAGTTATACAGGATAAATTGTGTATTTTATATTGTTGTAAATCAGTGTATAGACAGAATAAAACAAACGTTTAGAGCGGATCAACTTAATTGGCTGTTTTTATTGTCTATTAATCTACGATTTGTGCGTGCTATGGTTAAGGTTATTTGTCTTACAGCTTGACCTTTTAGACGTGGAATTTACCACTTAAAAGTAGAACTCCTTAGTATCTCAATGTAAATAGTTGGCTTTGATCATTAATCTCAGTCCACCGGACTTTTGTTTCGATCACTGATGCATGTTCGTATTTCATTTCATCACAGGGGCTGTTCTTCATGCATTTCCACTTAAATTTGTAGGTTGGACTGTATTGCACGAAGCATGTGTGCGGAACCTTCCACGTATGGTTGATTATTTGCTACGACATGGAGCTGATCCTAGTATCTCAAACATAAGCGGTGAAATGGCACTTCATTGTGCTGCGCGAGTAGGATGTCTGCGTATTGTTCGAGCGCTCATATACTACAACGCCGACCCTTTGGTGTCGAACCATAGGGGTGAGAAACCTTTGGACCTGTGTCATGACCCTGAGGTATCCAGTTTTCTCAAACAAGTATGTTTTGGATGTGATTTTTTAAAGGTTACATTTTGTAGAAAGGATTGTGTCGTAGGAATATCAGGAGCTTATCAAGCAGACCAGTTTCTTGAAAGAATTGTACCTTTGAGTATTTTTTTAAGACACTCCAAAAACTTATGGTGATACTTTTATGCTATGACAACTTGGGCCGGTATATATCTGTTACAGGCCCTACGTTGATGCTTACTGATTGACATCCTTATTTGTGTAGCCTTTACACTTAAGATGAAGCCAGATCATGGTCACTTAAGGGACTATGTTATCAGGCGAATGCGGAACTACAGTTCGATGATGGCAAGGAGGCAGTTGTGAGGTTGGATTTTTGTATCCATTCGTTGTATCACAGAAAGGTGCATGAGTGTGTTCAACATTTGGAAAATTCATTGTCTCAAATTTGAACCTTTATCTTTCGACACGATCGTTGCCTATATTTTGCCAACTGGTTTTCACTTAATGGGATGTACATTTGATAGATGGTTGCTTAATTTGGTTGGTCGTGTCAACCTATCTAATTATGGTCAACTAAACAGTACTTTGTAAATGTGGTAACTGTATTATGTGAATTAAAGTGATTTCCCTCTTTGTCGAGTATAATTTTTATTTCCCGATTGCTTATTTGATCATAGGTATATACGTCATCGCTGTCGTTAATGGAGAACATTAAGTGAGTAGTGGTGATGTTGCATTTAGCGTATTAAGTAAAAGTGTTGCATAGGTTGGTGAGATTATGAACTTTCACTGGCTGTGAGAGGGTTGGTGCATATGTAACGCTTGACCAGCCACTGACTACACCAGTGTTCCATGGAGGTTAGTATATATAGGATAGAAACAGGTTAGGAGCAACTAAATCGATTTATAAGGTCAACTCATGAAGTCAACGGCTATTAATCTGAGCCATTCAGGCTCCTTGATTGTTGTTCGTGAGACAACTGTAGTCTGTCTATGTTGTTTGTTAACTAGGTGATGAGTTGAAATTAGTTGTAATGATGAATGTGTACACATTTCTCAACATCTTGTAAGTGTTGGACATTCAAGTATTATTTTGTATCCTTCATTCGCTTTTGGTGATTTGCTTATCTTCCTCTTCGTTTATTGTGACTTATTCTCATCTAAATCTTGAGTTTCAGTTTTGATGCTTTCCGCCTTTGATTTGATTAATTCTTTTCTTAACGTACTTTATGTATTTGGTTTCTACTACTATTAATATTATTATTTCGACTCTGTTTTTCGTCTTTTGAACTTCCTGTCCCTACACTGATGTAAAATTTGGCAACTTAAACCAATAGTCATTCGAGTCAGTTCATACGCCATATACATATAATCTCTTCACTAATTGGTCAAGTTTTACTGTTTCCTGGATATACTTTATTGTTATTGTGTTTATATTTTCAGCATACTGAAACTAACCAATCACACATGTTAACATCGTCTGGTTCTGGGAAATCATCACATTCGAAAGTTCGCCAACATGCACACGGTACAAAACATCTGATGTCTTCTTTTTCTGGTACGACAATATCCAGTTCTACTGAATATTATGGTGGTGGGGGTAAAGATAACAGTAGTATAGCAAGTCCATCAAATGTTTGTTCAGACTCAGAAGATGATGGTCATTCGCATTCAGGTTTGAGTGTAACTACCAATACATCTCACCATAATACTAGTCCTATTAATACTAACCAGCAGTTAGATTTGAATTGCTTATCATCTACCGGTCATCATAACCATCCAACATCTAGCCCATCATTGTCGTCTGTACCCAAATCCGTAACTGATGTGCACATCTCTTCAGCAAAGTCATGTGAGTGTTTTTCACGCATGTATGCTTCTACATATCCCCCTCTTATTACAAACTGTTTGGCTTATCCTTTGTTGTAAACGTTATGCAATATTATGGTGTACTATTCCAGTAATTATTCACAGATCTCAATGCTTGTCTGTGTTATATATAGTGAATTTTGCAATAGCTATCAAAATCAACTGACAGACTGCTCATATTGTATATGAGAATATATAGATTTGCTCATCGTTGTATAGATGCAAGTGTCTCACTTGATTATCAAATGTTATGCTTCACTCACCAATTTTCGAAGTGATTAATGAAGTGGAGGTTTGTGATGTGTAGCTCCAAATGTGTTGGTGTTGGAAAAAAAAACAACGAAATGAGCTCTGTTCAGTGTATTTTTCACTTGATTGTGATTATGACTATCACCATTATCAGATAATGCCTAATGAATGTATTATGAGTGATAAGTAACTAGGTTCCCTTTAATTATGACCTTACAAAACTGTCTATTTGTTATCCGCTGAGTTTTGTGAAAGGTAGGTGGGGACTTATGTGATTGCCGTGTATACCTTACTAGTTGTTAGCATAGTGGAATGTGATAGACATGTTTATTGCGGGAATTATATGTCTGTGGTGATAAAAGCTCAAGGTAGGGAGAATGCTTCAAAAGAAAGAATAATATAGTAAAATGTCGAGTATGAATTGATGCTAAGAGTCAAGATTTCGTGGAAAACGAGAGATGAATGCATCTATACTAGTTTGTTGAGATGAAAGGGGTGTTTCGTAACCGGCAGGTCTACTATATGAATCAAAAGTCCATCGGCTAGTGGCTTCTTATCACACAGTCGGATTGTCATGGTGTCAGATTTGACCTATGTCATCTCTTGCGTATTTGTCTAGTTAACGTTACCCAGCAGTCAGCTGAAATTAATGCTTGTTCTACATTTTTGGAATATTGCTTATCTTTATTTTTTAGTGAACGGAATACATTCATTGAGACATTAAATAATAAAGGTTGATTCAGCGAAGAGTTCTCTTTTCGGCGAATTCATTTTTCAAAGCTGTACAGTCGCATATATATATATATATACTTATTTTTCAAGATGATAATAATGACAATAATAGTGATAATAAACTTTTGTTAAATATAATAGCAGTGAGATAGAATAAACAAAGGTATTTAAAAAAAATTAAATACTGGAAACCAATAGTTTTATTGTTAAGGGTTTAAATATTCATCATAAAGATGGATAGGAAAATTATCATTGGGAAAGAATGGCTTAGTGTGATAAAATCAGATGTAATCAGAAGGATCATAGAAGCAGAAATAGACCAGTCGGAGATAGAAGGTTCATGGAAAAGATGGAAGGGGAAGCAGATGGTTGTAAAGGAAGGAAATTATGGAGAAGAGAAAAAATGAGACATATTAAGACCATGTAGAGGAAGAGGTTATACCAATCTACTTTGGACACAATTCTGGTTTGCTCAGATGTATGACTATTGCTTCGGCAATTTTAAGAAGATGCAATATAACTGCTTTTGGCAGCCTTCTACTTATCTTGTAAATGACTTTTAACACAGAGTCTGTCTTGATTGAATGACCTGTGTTCACAAGGTTTTCGAGTATTGAGCCGTTTCTTCCTCTTCTTAGCCACGCTAGGGAATGTTCTTGAATTCTTTTGTATAAAGTACTCATCGAACGACCTATATACCTGGCTCCACACGAGTAGGTGAATTGGTAAATGCACATCAGATGAGATAATTTATCTTTAAGATTATTGATGGACAACGATCGGCTGGAGAACACGATTCGCAACGTTGCTGCGAATAACGTTCTTTTTAAAGACTCAGAAATTCTCTTCTTTAGGACGTTTGTAATTTTATCACCCTTAAAATCGATGTTCATGTGGTGTTTTCTTTTCGACTAATGTTATTTATGTTTTAGGTGGTTTAGGTTTTCTGTTCTCGTCAATAAATATAGAAGGATACCCATGTTTTGATAAGTATTTCCTGCTTCTATGATCCTCCTGATTACATCTGATCTTATCACACTAAGCCATTCTTTCCCAATGATAATTTTCCTATCCATCTTTATGATGAATATTTAAACCCTTAACAATAAAACTATTGGTTTCCAGTATTTAATTTTTTTTAAATACCTTTGTTTATTCTATCTCACTGCTATTATATTTAACAAAAGTTTATTATCACTATTATTGTCATTATTATCATCTTGAAAAATAAGTATATATATATATGCGACTGTACAGCTTTGAAAAATGAATTCGCCGAAAAGAGAACTCTTCGCTGAATCAACCTTTATTGTTCAATGTCTTAATTTGTTCATCTGACTTAAGTTCAATATTTTCATTTGCATTAATGTCATATTTCGTGTGGTATGTAAGCTACCAATGAGGATCACGAGATGTTTTGTGTATATATTTCCCCATGTTTGTATGTCATTTGAACATTAGTGTTTACCGTTAACAAATGCTAAGTTATCATCAGTAGTGGCATTTGCCTTCATTAATCTCTTGTCTGTGAAACGCGCATGTGTGCGCGTGCATAAACAAGCAGCCAACTAGTCTAGTGTTTGTACAAATGGGTGACTAGATAAAGTTGTCATTTGTTACCATGTGTTTATGCTTGTCTGTCATTGTTTGTAGTAGATACGAAGCATGGGTTGGCTATTTGGTGTTTGTGTTGTTGTATTTGCTTGTATATCTGTATATGTCTGTTGCAGTCGACTTATCATTCGTAATGGTAATGGTAGTAGTAGTAGTAGTAAGTAATAGTATATTTCTATCTGGTATGGGTTGTGTGTTGTGTTTAGCAGTCATAGGTACACTAACTCATCTGTCGGTCAGGGGTTTAGAAAGTTTCTTTCGCTTTTATTGTAGTAACAGTCAAGTGTACATACTTGTGATGCACTTGCGCATGCAGGTATGCGCTTACGTAGAGACGATGGCGAGGAGAGGGAGGGGACGATGAAGGTAAACACTTACTACCAGCAGTTGCATACAAACAATTTTTATGCCAATAAATAAGCACGTAAGAGTCTTCGCATTAGTTTTTAAATAGTTTCGGTGTTTTTGCATATGTCTACTGTAGTAGTAACGTTGGTGTGAGCGTGTAAATGACCATATTGTTCATCCTATGGAGTACTTTTTTCATGACAAGTCAAATGTGAAGTTATTTGGAAAAATACGATCATAATTGTTGTTATTGCTATTTTTGTGGTTTCCACATTGAAAATATTTTCACTATAACACTGATCGAGTGTGTGATCACTTACTTACTAGAAGAGACAAAAGGTGGGACATATATATGTGTTTGTGCACGACAGTAGTACATAAATAATACTACCAATAATAACAGTAACATACAAGTTGTTTGTTGAGATAGTTAAACTGCTAATTGTGATCTCTGTCTTTATGTACGTGCTCATGTTTGTCTCTATCTAGTGAAGAAAGATCCCTACGCGTTTGAAGATGATGAGAATGATGAGACGGTGAACAATTCTGGGAACTCACTACTTCATTCTGCGTCTGGTGTTAATAATAGTAATAATACCAATACACAGGCAACAGGACATATTGGAGTTCATTCTGGTTGTGGTGTTAGTGTTGGTGCTCCAGCCAATTTGAATAAGTCAACTTCTTCCAATTCTACCATTTCTTCTTCTACTACTACTACTACTATTACCACCACCACCACTACTACTACTTCTGTCAATACAAATACGAATACTAGTCCAAATAGTAATATCAGCCTTGGTAGTATTGATTCACTTTCAAAGCACACACGCCAACTGTCTTCTTCCAATTTGTCAACAACTGTGGAGTGTGGAAATACCACTTTGGATAGTAATAACGATAATACATTGACGACATTGACTGGTACAATCAATAGTGCTCTTACTACAACTACTGCTCCCAATAATAGTAGCAATTACACAACTAGTAACAACAACTGTGCTAGTATTGGTGGGCCTCCACTTCGGCTTCGTTTTGCAAAAGAAGCCGGTCAATATACTTTGATGGAACATCAACAACAACAGATTGATTTATCCCTTTCGAATTGTGATGCAAATCTTGCTCCTTCATCATGTGGAATTATTTGTACTACAACTGAAGCATCTCATGTCACTGTCATTAGTGATAGTGACAACGATAACAAGAACATGAATTTTCAAATGGATATTGATAACAATAATAATAATAATAGTAACGATAATGTCAGTAATGAGCATAACTCCAATATGGGTACATCGATGACGATAAAAAGTGAGCCAATCATCGTATCAGGTGATGAAGAATTGAATCATGTAAGTCAATTATTATGACAATAATTGTAACTGTTCTTGAGTGCTTATTTTGTTCAACCTACTAACCAGCCGATTAATACTGTGTTGGGTGGATTTGCTGATTAAATTTTGTGGATTGTAGGTTGATATAAAACAGCTAGATGTGTGTGTGTGTGTGCAGGGTAGTCAAATGTAGACATTATCTTATTTATTTATTTAATAGTGATGTCATGTTAGTCAGAGTTTTATGCTTGAGATTTCTATGACAATGGGCGTGAATATTTGGTCATAGATTTTTTGTTGAATGTTGTATTTGTCTGGTAAAGAAATAGTTTAACTTCACTGTTTAATAATTGATGTCGAAATATGAACATGTGGTAGTTGTAATTTCGTGGTAATGAAGTGATTTGAATGGTGGGATGTTGGTGACTAGTGAACTACTTATTGAAGACTGATCTCTCAATAGTTCATTCAGAACGATTGCTGATAACTTATTTCATCTTCTGTTGTGGTATTAGTTATTGATTGACATGTGAATGTGTGTGTGTGTGTGTGTGTTAATTTGGCTGTTCTCCTGACTGCTTAATCACGGTTTCCAGTTTGTTACTTTGTTTGTTTTTCTGTCTAATGTATGAGCTCTGTCGTTGAAGTACTACTATGGGAGTGTTAATGTGTGTATATATATTTGTGTGTGTTTGACCGATTTAGTGTGTTCTGTTTGTCAGTTCAGTTGTTTGTAATTGAGTAACTTTTTTCTTATTGACATGCGTACAATGACTGACATTGGTTATGTGAGAATCCGCTTTCGGATTTTTGACATTGTTGAGTTACGAGTTTGTGAACCTGGATGTTGGTCAGGTTCTTATTCTAGGTTTAAACATTCACTTTTCAACCAATTTCGGGTATGTTGAAAGCGGATAAGTGGTAAAGCTAGCAGTCAAACACACAGCGAAAGTATGAATCACAAAGCCGAGCTCATGATTATGTACTTTTTGACCGGTGACTTGTATCTCATCTGAATTTTGTAACCATTAATCACAATTGATTGATCACTGGGTGGTGATCAATCTCATGCTTGTCTAGTCCTTATTAGTGCAGATCGAATGCTATCGATCATGTTGCAATGTGGCCACCAGTCTAGGTGACTCGACACTGCGGGCACTATGTATTGAGATTAGATGGTGGTTGGAGGTAGTCAACAGGAAACCATTAATTTATAGTTCATACTTGTACCCCCATCTCCCTATCTTGTTATTGTGAGTTAGAAACAGTAATTGAGCTTAGTTGTTTTGAGGATAGAATAGCAGATGCTAAAACACTCGTTCTGTTATATATCAAGTATCTGTTGTCCGTTTGTCTCGTGACTGCACTTTCTGTAGATAGTAAATTGTCAGAAGTGTATGTAGTAGTGTCCGTGAGTGAGAACGAAAGCCTTAGATCAGGAAATGTATCGTTGCTTTGTATGTATGTACATAAGTATGTGTTTTTGTACAATGTTTGGTTAATTAACGACTCAGTTGTTCTAATTGTCTTTGTTTCACCTGTTGGGTTTTAATAAACCATTTAGATTGAGAATTGTAGGATTGCTTAAATATGAGTGATTGTTTTGGATTGTGTATTGTGAATATTGGAGTTGTACTGTCTGAGTAGTCTAAGTGTCGCGGTGTGCAATTGTGAACCGACGAACTGGAATTTGCTTATTCTGTAATTTAGTGCAAATACAAGTGATTAATATCGCTCGTTATTTGTGGAGATGAAGAATTTGACAGGAAGTGAAACCTCTGTGACTGCATTCTGTGTCTATTGGTTGTTTCGATCAGTTGGATGTGTATTACACATGAATATTTCCCTTTATTGCACATTCTACTGTTGTGGTTAATGCCCAGTACTCTAATTGTTAGATGATGATCAGTGGGGGTATTTATCTGAAGACTATTTTCGACAGTATATTCATCATTGTCACCATGGGTTACTGTTTTTGTCCTGATTCTTCGTATGATTACTATTATTGGGATGCTACTAGAATTTTTGTAAGAGGGGTATTGTGAAGTGATGTATCAAAGGGCGAATAACCTCAATACTAAGAATGACACTGGTAAATTGAGTCAATCAGAAATCGGCCAAATGATAAGTACATTTGATTAAGCAGGAAACGGCTTTTATTGCTAAGAGATGTGATATACTCTAGTGGTGTCTTAATTTTGTGAGGAATAAATATATGCTGAGGAGTCTCACGACAAGACGAAACGGCCGTCCAGTGCTTCCAGGTTTTCCATGGTGGTCTAGCTTCAATTGACTCGTGATCTCAACTATTGGAATAAATATGTTTATGTATGAATGTATACACACACGGTCGATTCGATGTGGTCAATAAACTTCCTTTTTTAGTGTCAGTGTTTTCACTGGAGTATATATATTACTACCATTGAAGTAACTACTCCTATGGATTTGATGACCATTTTATTGTGTTAATGAGGTGTGGCAACTTGCATATATGTGTCTGGTCCTATGTTGCAGCTGACTGACCGGTTGAGCTGGTATATGAAAAGTTTGTGTATCAGTATCAACTATCGGACACCTCATGTCACAATAAACATACTATTTCAAGTTCTGACTAGTGTGTTACCACTAAGTGTTAATGAATGAATGGGAATGTGATAAGGTTGATAAGAATATGTGACAGTTCATGTTTACCGTCGTTGTCGGGAAAATGATTATACTTTCCTACCATGATAGAGTTGTGGATATGTGTGTGTTAGGTATTTTAATGGGGTTCTAAATGTAGCATTTCTACAATATTGACTAGAATGAATGTAAGGGAAAGGAGTTTATGTCTTTAAATTGATTGTCTGAGTTGGTAAATATATTTTGTGATCGTTGTTTGTTTTGTAGAGAATTTGTTATGTGATTGTGTGTATTCGTATTTTGTGGTCCTGCAGATTTAGAACGTTGGTGTAGTGATTGAGGTGTTCGACTTTCAGCCACTAAATGACAGTTTCAAACCGTGCTCCACCCATTTGGGTTTGGGCTACTGGATAGTACATTGGCCGTCACTCCAAGAGTGTGTCTCATAATCAAGTACATGGCGAATGAGCTGATGTATAGATGTTAGTCCTACAAAGGAATTCGCTTCCATTTCGTCATGCTATATCAGTCAGTCAGTCAATCGGTGCCGTGAGAGGTATGAGGGCGGTTATCAGTTACCGGTTGCCCACACCGTGGAAGGGTTGTTCTGGAGGTACCTGAAAAGGAAATTGGATTAGAGGTGGTCTTAGTGACCTGAGAGCGTGACCGCAGTGCCCAAGGGCCAACTGCTTGAGGTCGGTCACACACGACGTTTTTATGGGTAATTTTTGTGTTAGCTCCGTACTTGTTGAGACCTTACCACCGGAGACAGATATCCGTGGGATAAGGTGAGGTGTGCATTTTAGGGTCGACCTTTTCTAACCCCACCCTGGTTGTGGGAAGGCAGCATCGCTGTTGTGCTGGTTGTTTGAAGGAAACACCTTACTGCTGCCACACCTCTGTACAATCAGCAGTACGACTTTACCTTCGGACCTTGGGTTTGTTGCCTTTAGTCTTACCACTCTTCAACCGACCTTTCTGACATGGTAGGACCTTGAGGAACGATTGTTCCAGCCAGTATAGCTCGGTTGCTTCATCACGATAGGCGAGCGCGACCACCACTTCAAACTAACAACAACGGCCGGGCCACGTTCTATAGTTTAGACAGTTTCCTACTGAATTTTGAAGTATGATGATTATTTGTTGTTTGTATTCACGTGTGTCTACGGGCTTTTTCTTTTCTGTTAATTCTCTGTGACAGGTGTCTACATCATGCCATTCAGAGTCATCAGGAGGCGAAGAAATCTCGGCACAGAAGGTTCCTCCTTTACGCATAAAATTTGCTTCGGGTACTTCTGGAGATGAGTCATCATCAATGACGTCGTCGTGCATGTCAGTCGGAGCAACTGGTGGTGGATTGGCAATTCATCCTATTAATAATGTGGAGAATAATTGGACTAATGAGTCGAATATGAATGATAAATGCGACGTGAAACCTCGTGTATCTGATGATGGTTTGATGACTGTGAATAACAAAAGTGATGGTAAGGAGGCTGGAGTCACTGTCACTTCTCTGGTCTCGACGAGTGTCGTTTCATTGAATGCTCCAGTTCCTGACAAAGTTTCATGTTCAAGCGTGGAGAATATCGGCGACGGTAACAGCGGCAGTAGTACTACTACCACCATTACTGCTACCGGCACTACCGAAACTGTGCACGATCAATATTCTAGCTACCATGAGAAGTTATCTAAGTCTTGTGATCATGTTGTTGCAACGAATGTACACCATGACGAATCGAGTACAGAGTTGTCCATATCTTGTACTCCCCCATCAACATGTATCACTAGTGCTGGGATGAACACTAGTGTGAATATTACGAGTGGTGTTAACACTGTTGAGATGAATAGCAATCGTAGTAATGCAAGTAATGCTAATCGGGTGAAGATGGATAATACGCTGGAGACGAGTGAGTGTCATGGAAAGAGTGGCAATAATAATAGTAATAATAATAATAACAACAACAACCACACACACAATCGAAGTAATAATAATAGTAATAATACGAATAATGGTAATCGAGAAGTGTCGAAAGTGAGTTTACGTGTTTTTGTATGTTTGTTGATGTACGTAGTTGTATTAGTCACTTGAATGTTGTAATTGTGACTGAACGTACTGAAGTGTGGTTCGATGTAGCTATTGATGAGAAAGTAGATGATGGTATTTGATCAGAATAACTTTCGGGAGAAATTTATCCATTCTAAATGTGTAAGTGTTTTAGTTGGTTTTTGGTAGGTTTTGACTATGAATCTGAGGCATAATGCTGGTGTGTTTTCTAAAAAGCTGAGATGAATTGATGTGATTCGGTGCGGGATGAGGGTTACATTAATGATTGGATGCGGCGAACAGTCATCACGCAGATCGTATGATTGCGTCCTTTATTTTCATAGTCCAGCATTGGTCAATAATATATTGATAATGTTGTTGCTTAGGATGAACTGTTGAGTTGTATGGAAGATTTCCGACTTCATCAAAAGTTAAATTTTTAATGCATATGTGATAAATTCAGACAGACTGTAGTGGTTTGAATGTTGTGTTGATGTGTTGATAACTGTTATCATTGTTCGTGTCCTGTGTTGATTTTGACTGTTAATGGAATGAACCTGTTGTATATTTTGTGGTTGATTGAACTCTCTCTGCCCCTTCATTCGATGATGAACTCGATTGAAGGTGAAATTCCACTTTGATTTGCTACATTTGTATGAATCTGTTTCAATTTGTCTGATTATTTCGTTCTTGATGTATTCTTGATGTTGTAGGATACTCATCGACATCGTAGTGGGCGTACATTACGTTCACATACAGCTGCTCAACGTGAAAAAGAAGAGAAGGAACGTCACAGTAAGCATTTTGTTAGTTCAGTGTTTGTAATTTTTTGATTCCGATTTCTGTTTACTGACAGGAAACAGTTTGTGATGGATTGTAGAAGAAATTGGTGTTGATTTGATGAGGTAGAAAGAGGAGTGTGATGGAAGATTTGTGTATGTGTCATTAGTACTATAAAGTTTGGGACTTATGAATTACCCTGTATTAAGTGGGTGAGACGCGACAGCAAAGAAGTGATCGTCTAGTAACTAGATTATATTCATAGTTTTGCTTTATTGGTGTTGATTCAGTCAGTCAGTCAGTCAATCAGTCAGCTACAATGTAGAACCAGGCACATATATGTATCAGTCCAAGTTGCCATACCGCATTAACACAACAAGATGGACACCGGATTCATAAAAGTAGTTAATTCAGAGGTGGTAATATATAAAAGAAAGATTGCATATAAGAATATAGTACAGGAAGAAAGAATTAGTTGGTAAAAGAAAGATATGAAGCAATTTTAATCTCTTAGTTTAAGGGAAAACAGAGAGTGTATACACCTACGCCATTGTGATCGATTCTGAGCCTTGTCACCAAGAGTCTCCAACCATTGGTTACGATAGTCACGCGGACCCCAACCAAGTAGTCTGCATCTACCAACATGGCTCAGACTAGAAGTTAGTGACTTCATGCACTGATGCCCCGTTTTGGTTTGGCCACCCCTAACTTTCTTCCAACCATCCCGAACACCGGTTAGCATTGTACATCGTGGTAATCGGTGTTCGGGCATACGTAACACGTGGCTCAACCATCTCAGTCGATGAAGATTCACAACCTCATCAACTGATTTACCATCATTCCCTAATACCCTGTGTCTAACCTCAATATTACTTACCCGGTGATCCCAGCAGATGCCAGCAATATTTCTAAGGCATCTGTGGTCAAATACTAGTAGCTTACGAGTGTCTTCTACTCTTGATGGTCATGTTTCGCTGCCGTAAATTAAAACAGAATGGACTGCCGCGCAGTATACTCGTCCTTTTATTGATAGACGGATATCTGGCCTTCGCCATAGGTGAGGTAATTTGGCAAAAGTCAAGCGAGCTTTTTGAATCCGTGCTGAGATTTCGTCAGACACCAGCCTATTTGGGCTGATCAGACTTCCAAGATAGGTGAAGTTGTCAACACGTTCGACTACTTCACTCCCTATCCTTAGTTCAGGTGTTGACGCAGACCAGTCCTGAAGCAACAACTCGCATTTAGAGGGAGAGAAGCGCATTCCAAACATTCTGGAATTGTTGCTCAGTGCTACCGAATAACTGCATTTTATCAGCGTCTTCACCACAACAGGACTTTGTCATCTGCGTATTCTAAGTCGATAAGTGGACCTCCTGGAAGGAGATCAATACCCGAGAATTCAGTAGACGAGAATGTTATTTCCATCAATAGGTGTATGATGAAGTTAAACAAAAATGGACAAAGTTGACAGCCTTGAAGGACGCCACTCGAAGTTGCAAAATCAGATGACAGTTCGCCATAAGCTCTGACTCGACTAGTAGTGTTCGAGTAAAGAGCCTTCACAAGGTTTATGTATTTCTGAGGTACGCCTTTCAATGACAGACACTGCCACAGAATCTGGCGGTCTACAGATTCAAATGCTGCTTTTAAGTCGGAAGAGACCACCATTGTCGGGCGCCGATAAGTATGCCTGTGTTCTAGAACCTGACGATTCTCTCGTGTTTGCAGTTCACGAGTCTTAGTTAAGCGTCTGATAATTATCGAGGCTAGTGTTTTAGATACTATATTAGTTAAACTAATCCCTCTATGGTTGTCACAGGATGATTTTGACCCTCTCTTTTATATTGGGACGATAAGTGATTGTGACCAGTCAGATGGAATAACGTCTAATTGCCAGATCTTAGCTAAAATATTAGTCAACCTGATTGCTAAAATTGGACCACCATCCTTAAAGACCTCTGGAGTCAATCCATCTGGACCAGCTGCCCTTCCTCGTTTCATATTAGCTATAGCCTTTTGAATTTCAGCTAGAGTTGGGGGACCTACTTCAATGTTCCATTCACACTGTCTGGGAATGGAGGGTAGTTGTAGAGTAGCTGAAGGCCAGCTGAACTGTTCTCTGAAATGTTCTGCCCATCGTTCTAAACGTCTGGACTGGGAGCAGATGAGTGTCGTTTTCCGAAATAGTGTGACTTACACTTGACTTATTAATTCCAGTTTCTTTTATTAGTCTGTAGATCTGTCTTGTGTTCCCTATAGCCGCCGCCTTTTCCATCTCTTTTGCTTTCGTTATCCACCACTGCTCACGGTCATTCCTTATACTTTTGGTTAACCTAGATCTGATTGTTGTCGCTCTTCATCGTGTTCAGAGCCTGATGAGATGAGTTTACGAGAATCGATCAGTGCAATAGACCTTGTTGCTTTTAGTCTTACCACTCTTCAACCGACTTGTCTGACATGGTAGGACCTTGAGGAACGACTGTTCCAGCCAGTATAGCTCGGTTGCTTCATCACGATAGGCGAGCGCGACCACCACTTCAAGTTAGCAACAACGGTCGTGTTGATTGATTGATGTTTGTAGTGTAATGGATGGATGGATGGATGAATGGTTCGATTTTGTAATAATCTCCAGTTTAATACATGCACATTGGTCTGTTGCCAAAAGGGTTTAATTTCTATTTATTATGTGAATATGTGAAAAATGTATAACTCATTCAGTTGGTCAGCCAATCTTTGGTACTATAGGGCATTAGAAAATGCATCGTCATCATCATCACACATAATGACACAAGAATATTGTGAGAATAAATTGCCAAGGTAAAAATAATGTAATTGAAGTGGTGAAATACTACAGAAAGGTAGCTCACATAAAACCGAAAGTGAGTAAGACTTTATTTTCTTGAACATTTCATATTGGTGTTTATTGGAAAGAAACAAGTGATTGATGGGAAGCTTGGTAACAGCTTCGATTCTATGTTAGGAAGTCGTACATCGTTTATGGAAGCATTCTGGAGTATAAAACTCATCTGTGAATAGTGATCATAAAGTCAGTGAGATTGTGGTGATGTTTTCTGTCAGTTTTGTAGAATGTAACTGATGTACGTTGATGACACTATTTTTTCTCTATTTAGCGGATGACGCTACTCCGATTAAGAAGCGTAAACTTCGTTCTCGTTCGGATACTGTGACAAATCATGAGAATATCAGTCACCAGAGTCAAAGTGGTGGTGGAATTGGGACAGTAAATGCAAATAATTCACCTGTAACAACTGTTCATGTTGGTTCGTCAACTGAATCTTCTAATGTGTCGTTGTCTTCAAATGCTGTTGCAAACATGGATGTGATTGAAGATACACATGGTTGTTCAACTGTGACTGCTTCTTCTCAAAGTGACAGTCACATGGATAATGAAGAGAAGAAGGTGTCTGTCGGTAGTTCTCAGTCTACAGTGCTGATGGATAAAGATACTACTGATGTGCATATGACTTGTGTTTCTGAAATGGAAGGAGGACATTCTGTTTCATCGTCTACCACCACTTCTTCTACTAATATACTGCTACAACTACCACTCATACTCATACTCCTACTCCTACTAATACTACTACTACTACCACTACTGACAATGATAACAGCAACAAAATGGAAGTGGATGGGAAACCAGAGATGTGTGGAACTGCTGTGTCAGTTGTGACATTGAATATGGATGGATCGAATGATGTGAATGTCGTGTCATCAGTCTCCGAAG